GACATGTGGTCTGAAATGGGACAACATTACGCTCGAGCGCTCCAGAGCCGAGGAGGTCTATTGGTCAAACAYTGACCACCATGTGCTGTCAGCTGGAAAGAATCCTATTCAAAACTTGTCATTCAGCTGATGAACATTTTGCACGAGACAGGAAATGACGTCTTGTGAAWCCCCGGCCAAGAATTTATCAAAATCATTGTAAAAACAACCTACATAACTCACATATACCTAAGCGTCCAGTTGCAACAACATCCAAGATATTTTCCCTCGAGTTCCGTGACTTTTTACTGAATGAATCAGGATACCCTGAAGTATCTTCCGGCTCGTGACTTCGGCTGAGACTCCCCGATGACCGGGGTATGGGGGGAGGGGGTGCGGGACGTGTTTTGGTCGACTTKGGTAAACTACCGGTACCAGACGACACAGTCTCCGATCTGGGTCCAAGATGATCACTTGAAATGCTGATTTTTTTACTCGAATAATTGAGTCTTGCATCTCTGTCTGGCTTCGAATTGGAGTTCACATCCATTGTAYTATTGCTACTGGATTTYGGCTCCTCTTTTGTTTTASAGCGACTCATTGAACTCTCCCTCGCAACTATATTACTAGGKCTRTCTGTTTTGGATGCTCGTTCTGTTAATGGCTTCCTGGGCAAAGAGGAATGGCGCTGCGGGCTGGAAGAATCTTTGCTATCCGCCGTCCCCGTTGGAATTCTTGGTTGTGCACAATCAGGTTTTCTCTCTGGTGAACCTGAATGAGTAGAGATCGWAACAASAGAACAAGCAGGAGGTGAAGACTGCTTGGAATCCGAACCACCTCTCGGTCAACTTGACATCCTAGCTTCCTTGCTTCCAGAGGTTGCCATGGAAACATCAGATTTTGGTTCTCTTGGTAACCTCGTTGCCCTGGGATAACGTGGTTTGATCTCATCCCGTTCGCTTTCTTTTGGTTTGTTATTAATAGACGTGGTATAAGTTTYGACAGAAATTTTGAGACTACCTTTTCGTTCTTTGGCCCCACTTTCTTCGTATTTCTTGTCCTTAGCAACCATACCGCTGTCTCTAGTAACAGGGTCGATATTTTCCTTGCCCTTTGATCTCGTAAGACTCGAAGTTTTGTCARTCTGTTCTGGTCTGGTATCTTGTCTACTGGTGGGAAGGTTCGTGGCTTTGGTGGTGGAGTTCTGTGTTGCTTGGCCTGYGGTCGCTGCTGGTGTGATGTCTATTGATTTGTTACTTTGTTCTTGCTGTTTGGCCTCAGTTCCTTTCTGCAATATATTCGATTGCTACTTTAGCATGATACAAAAAAGTCTATGGACCGTTTAACAAAGAAATTATATTCTCTTGTTTTCTCACTGGACTCTGAAGATGACTTCCGTTCAGGTCGTCGAAACGTCAGTCACCACCAACAACAGTCTTTTTCAAGGCTACACTCACCCGGACGATCATATTTCACAACAAAGAAATTATACTCTGTATGTGGTTTGAAATGGGAAAATATTACGTCCAAGCTAGAAGGGTCTATTAAACTTCCGGTCCCCCCCCCCCCCTCGTTGGCTATAGTATTCAATTCCGCTAGTCATGCAAGAACAATCTTTAAAGCTAAGATTTTTGAAAGACGTGGGCGAAAGGATAAGGACTCAGCATGTCCACCTTAATTTTTACACACAATACCGGGTAACCAATCACAAAGTATAAACAATTAATATAGTAGCCAATCACAAAAGCGTAACAAATCAATCAATAGTAGCCAATCACAAAGCGTAAC